GTTTCAAAATCCTACCTTCCAAGAAGCAACCTGGTTTCACTCCAGGACACACTATCTTCAGGACCACAGCTCAAAGTCATCAATTGTTCTGTCATCTTAAATCATTGCCCAGCTCTCAGATGCATAGCAAACCATTGAAAAGGCCATAACTTTGATCAGATGCACCTTAGTTTTTAGACTGACATCATTGTTCTTTAGCACTCTGGAGAAGTCATTGACAGCAGATTGTCCAGTATAACTCATCTCTGGATTTCCACATATAACGCACATGTAACTCCAAGAGGATTCTACATCAAGCAAAAAGTTTCAGGTTGTATGAAATCTGTGTTCAACTGTAAGATCTCCTTGGATATAAAACTCAAACCACCAACTTGATTCCCCTCATCCACCTGCAGCATAATCAGGTAAGAGTCCTGTCTACCACGTACACTGATGGAAACATGAAACGGACTATGACTGCCCACAGACAGCACCCACCCAAGAAAGTGCCCGTCCTTAAGGCACATAGATCTTAAATCTATAGAGGAGTAATAGACTAGGGCCATTTCCTTCTTTTCTTTTTTTGATGTGTAATTTACATGGAAGGAATAGTTGTTCTTTGAAATGAGAGGAATGGGCACAAAAGAAGACTCACTCGTAGGAAAGAGAAGAGGTAGGCTTCAGTGGAGTAAAGAGAGTGGAAGGATCTGACAAGACTTTACTGTTTCCAGTAAAAATGATACAACTCCTTTTTAAGAATGGTAGATCGAATACCAGAAAATTGTCTACTTGTGTTTCATTGACCATACACAAAGGCATTTGACTACATAGATAATAATAAACTAGGCTCACACTGAAAAGAATGGGACTCTCAGAACACTTAATTATGCTCATATGAAACCTATACCTAAACCAAAAAAACAAGGAAATAGAATAAGGAAACATTACATGGTTTAAAATTAAGAAACGTGTGCATCAGAGCTGTATCCCTTCTCTGTACATGTTCAATCTGTGTGTTGCACAAATCATTTAAGAAGCTGGTCTCTATGAAGAAGAAGGTCGCATTAGGCTCAGAAGAAGACTCATTTACAACCTGGGTTATGCAGAGGACACAACTTTGCTGGTTGAAAGTGAAAAGGACTTGAAACTCTTGCTGCAGAAGGTTAGAGATGATGTCCTTCAATATGGAATAAATTACATCTCAATATCAAGGGTCCAACTCTCTGATACATAACAAGTAATTGCAAAGAACATGGCCTGTATCAGGCACACCTTAGTCTCCAGAGAGACACCGTTGCTCGAGTACTTTAGAGAGGTCCCTAATATATTTCAATATGGAATGGATTACATCTCAACATCAAGAAAACAAAAACCTCACCACTGGGCCACTGGAAAAAAGATTTAAGTTAGCCATAGATTCATCCTGTTTGAATCCCACAATCAACAATTGCTGTTTGTTTCTTTAGATTTTCCAAGTGCAACTCAAACTTTGATTGCCTGACTGCTGGCGCCAACAGTGTTCACTGTAGCCCTGAGCAAGATGAAATTGTTAATAACTTCAAACTTTTTTCATCTTTTGTCTTACTGCCTATTGACTCAAGCTTGGCAATCTTTATTTTCTTGATGTTGAGATGCAATCCATATTGAAGACTGCAGTCCTCACCTACTGCAGGAAACACTTTAAGTCCTTCTCAGTTTTGATGAGCAAGGTTGTGTCATCTACATAATATACAAG